TATCATTGGATGTCTTCCATATCATTGTTGCTGCCAATCCATATCATTGGATGTGTCACTCCATATCATTGGATGTCTTCTTTTGCACAGACCCCCTACTTTTCCAAAAAAGATGTCCTTCTCCAGGGACTGGTCCCTCGTGACAGTATATCTAAAGTGTAAGAGATGAAGTCTTGCCATCCTCAATTGCAAGAAGCATTCTGACTGTACTTCTTCCAACACAGATTTGTTTGTTTTTCTGACAGTCCATGGTACTTCCAATGTTCTTTTCCAACACCATAATTCAGATGCATCTATTCATCTATGGTATTGCTTAATCAAGGACCAATTTTCACATTCATATGAGGTGATTAAAATACCATGGCTTGTGTCAGGTGCACCTTAGTGCTCAAAGTGATATCTTTGCTCTTTAGCACTTTAAAGAGGTCTTATGCAGTAGTTTGCCCAATGCAGTATGTCGTTTGTTTTCTTGACTGCTGCTTCTGTGAACATTGAGTTGTGTATCCAAGCACAATGAAGTCATTAACAATTTCAATATTGTCTCCATTTATCATGATCTTATATATTGGTATAGTTATGAGGATTTTTATTTTCTTTACATTGAATTGTAATCTGTATGAAAACTGTATTCTTTGGTCTTCAGCAAGTGCTTCAAGTCCTTTTCACTTTCAGTAAGCAAGGTTGTGTCATCTGCTTATTGCAGGTTGTTACTGTATCTTCCTCTATTACTGATATGATGACCTTCTCCAGCTTCTTGGATTATTTGTTAAGTATACAGACTGAATAAATATGGTGAAAGAACACAACCCTAGTGCACACTTTTTCTGATTTTAAACCATTCAATATAAACAGGTTCCTCATGAGCACAATTCAGTGTTCAGGAATTCCCATACTTTGAAGTATTATCCATTGTTTGTTGTGATTCACACAATCAAACACTTTTTCATCATTGATAAAGCACAAGTAAACCACTCTCTAGTATTTTCTGCTTTTAGCCAAGATCCAGCTGATGACAGTAATAATATCTCAAGTTTCATGTCCTCTTCTGAATCCACCTTGAATTTTTCACAGCTTTCTATCACTGTACTGCTGTAACCATGTTTTAAATATCTTCATCAAAATGTTACCTGCATGTGATATTAGTGATATTTTCAGTGATTTCTGCATTCCATTGGATCACATTTCTTTGGAATGTGCACAAATATAGATCTCTTTGAATCAGTTGGCCAGGCAGTTATCTCCCAAATTTCTTGCCATATGGTAAATATTGAAATGTTTGAACATTGATCAGTTCTTTTTGGTACAATGATTCTGTGTATTCCTTCCATCTTCTTTTGATGTTTCTTATGTCATTCAATATTTTGTTCATGTTGTTGCCATTAAATACCTTTGAGTTGGTACCAACTCATAGTGACCTTGTGTAGGGTTTTAGCAACTATAAAGCTTTGTGGGAACAGAAATCCTCATCTTTTGCCCACATTTTGCTCATAGTATGCTTCAATTTAGCAACTCGAGTATTGATTGTTTTCTTCAGTTCTTTTAGACTGAGAAATGCTGAGAGTGTTCTTTTTGATTTTCTCACTCAAGGTCTTTGCACATTACATTGTTAATGTTGTTGTGTACCATTGAGTCGATTCTCATTCATAATGAGCTGTATAGAGTTTCTCAGAGTGGCTGGTAGGTCTGAACTTCCAATTGTATGTTCACAAGTCCAGTGCTTATCCTACAGTGCTACATAAGAGCACATTTCATTATAACACTTTATTTTGTCTTCTCAAGCTGCCCTTTGAAATTTTCTACTCAAATTTTCTACTTCATCATTTCTTCCAGTCATTTTAGCTATTCACCTATTCAAGAGCTGATTTCATTGTGCCTTCTGACATTTATTTTGACCTTATTTTCCTTTACTGTCTTTTGAATATCCTTTTTTGTCTTCATATATAATGTTCTTGATGCCATCCCACAACTCTTCTGGTCCTTTGTTATTATTAGTGTTTACTGCATCAAATTTATTCTTAAGAATGGTTCTAAATTTAGGTATGATCTACTCAAGGTCTTATTTTGACTCTCATGGACTCGGTTTAATTTTCTTCAACTTCAACCTGAACTTGCATATTAGCAATTGATGATCTGTTCTACAGTTGATCCCTAACCTTGTTTTGACTGATGATATTGAGCTTCTCCACCATCTCTCCCCACAGATGTAGTCAATTGGATTCTTGTGTATTCCATCTGGTGAGGTCCAGGTATATAGTTAACATTTATGTTTTTTAAGCACTAGACTGCAGGGTTGGCTTGAACCATAAGATCATTGGTTCAAAT